AATTCTTTTCTATACCCACTGTATGTATGTATATGCTTTACTAATAAGCAGTAATATGCATGCTAGTTAACAGTGAGAATATTATGATATACTACAAGGTTGTTCAAAGTACATGCCCAAAAACATGGTAATACCATGGTTAAGTTCAATCAAAACAAACAACTGGGAATAAATCTGCTCTTAAGAGTTAGAGAGAAATTTTTAAATTGCATTAATACAACAGTTAAAAAAAAAAAAACAAGAAGTTAACGAGTAGCTTACATTTTAGACCCAATATTGTATTTTTTCCTTTTTTAATTCTATTTTTGCTCTGCTGACAGAAATAACTCCAAACAAAACTAAAAAGCAGAATGAGCGAAAGGTTCAATGTCTCGCTCATAAAAACCTACACTTTATGCAAAGTATCATATGTAATAGTTCAATTAAAACAAACAACTGGGTGTAACTTTTTTTTGCCATTTTCATGTTACTCTGTATGTCATGATGACAAATCCATCTTTATAAAAACCCTCACAGAGAGGCTTCATACTATATTAAAACACTTTATGTAGGGAGCAGAGAGTAGCGGTACAGCATAATGCACTAACTGACGGTACATTACTGTCTTTTACAGTGTAATTACACACAAAACAACACTTATATGTGGTGGGAAGTGGGTGACCCATTTGTAAATCGTACTGACCTTTTGAACGGTAGTATATATATAAATATACTCATATTTAATTCATATTTTAATTCATTACAATTAAAACTTTTTTAATTCATTAAACATAATTAAAAATGGACATTTTCACTCAATATTTGTGACACTCAGAGCAACTGTGTCTGTGAACTACAAAACAGTCGCTATACGAGCTGTGAGTGTGTAAGTGTGCGTGTGAGATTGTGCATTTGTTTTGTGTCCATATGGCACAGTGGTTTGTAGGGATTATTGTAACCCTGAATTGAGAAAGCGAACACACTTTTACCCTGGAGAAAGAGGTGGGCCATGACTAAAACAGTTTTGAAGGATTACAGCATTGAAAAAAAGTTACATTTTAGAAAGAAAACATGAGCAATGGTGTATAGACAGATGTTTTCTTTTTCGCTAATCTTTGGGGGGTTGGGGAGGGATGAAAACCAGGGCTTTAGCACAAACAGCAGAACAGAAATGCTCTATCACGCACACACACGTTCAGACATCTGTCTCTATGTTAATGTCCACTCGAGGTCGAAGAATGAGCAGATTAGACTGATTAAAGGAATAGTTCACCCCAAAATTTAATTTGCTGTATATTTACTCACCTCAGGCCATCCAAGATGTAGATGGGTGCCGTCAGAATGCAATTGCATTTGCACACCACTCCAGTCCATCAGTTAACATCTTGTGAAGAGAAACGCTGCTTGTTTGTAAGAAACAAATTCATCATTAAGACATTTTTAACTTCAAACCATAGCTTCAGGCAAAAATATGGGTCCATAATCCATAATATTGCTTTCTCCAGTGAAAAAGCCGTCTGGTCTGAAACAGGAGAGAAGTATGCACAGATCAAGCACCGTTTACAAGCGAAAAACAGTCCAAAATAGTTCAAAACAAATATGTTGGTGCATTTAGCTGCCACAGGGGATTAACTTTTTCACTGGAGAACTCATATTTTGGACTCATATTTTGACCAGAAGCATGGTTTAAAGTTAAAATGCCTTGATGGATTTGTTTCTTATAAACATGCAGCTTTTCACTTCACAAGACATTAACTGATGGACTGGAGTGGTGTGGATTACTTGTGGATTATTGTGATGTTTTTATCGGCTGTTTGGACTCTCATTCTGACGGCACCCATTCACTGCAGAGCATCCATTGGTGAGCAAGTGATGGAATGCCACATTTCTCCAAATCTGATGAAGAAACAAACTCATCCTAATCTTGGTTGGCCTGAGGGTGAGTAAATTTCACACACATTTTGATTTTCATGTGAACTATTCCTTTAATGTTATGTGCTTTCATCTGTGTGTAACCGTATTTCATATATCTGTCATCAAATGAATGTCCTTCACCACTCATTCAACGCAAACACTCACAACCCATCAACGCAGTCGTCTGTAAATACTCCTTATTGCCTTTCAGCAGTGATCCCTCAATAGACTCATTACTATTTCAGAAACACATTGCACCACAATCGATACATTTCCATTAGAGTGATGGACGACTGTTTTTCAAATGCTCTCCTGTCGCAACAGAATCACAGGATGGCGTTTATGAGACATAGAAGTGTCATGACTAATACTTTACTCTTGATACGATGTCTGTCTTCCTGGAATTTCAGACCATTTAACTTCAGCCAATTATTCATATTCAGACACACTGCAGAGCTATTATTTTCACGTTAGAGCTTTGATGAATTCATGTGGAAATGCTGTATGTGAAAGGAGAACGGGGGAAGATGGCTACAGTAATTTTCCATCTCTTTCAGACGTTCTGAAGGCCTGTTCATCCCTCTCCGTCACTGACAATGCCAGACTCAATCTCCTATAATTCATCATTCATATTGACTTACAGGACTTCTCAGAGGACACAAACTGCAGCCAAAGCAGGAGCCAATCCAGAAGATATAAATACTTGAATTCATAAAAAGACAAGGAACCTTTAAAACATGCTAATTTTATGCATCCCACATGCTCCATTAATTAAATATGAAAACACACAAACAGCCTGCTATAGTTTTTATATAAACATTCATTCAAAACATGAATCCTATGAGAATCTTATTAAACAAATGCAAATCTGCTCATGCTGGCATTTCTAGATTCCAAATTTGAGAAGCTTCTTAATGTCAGCATCAAAACATATTAACAGCATGCAGTAGACATACTGCTATACTACTCATACTATGCAGTATAAACACTGCATACATACAGATTTGTTTTTTTTAATAAGAATATAATATATGGAATACTAAATTTGCCAGAATGTACAGTAACAGCACAGGGAGAGGAATGCAGCATCCCACAATACAATGTATTCGACGTAAATGTTGATAGAACTATAATAAATACCACAATCTTTTTGATTCATTATCTGAGAAGATTTTACTCAAAATTAGAATAATTGTTTTTTTTTCTGAGAATGGAAATAGCTATATATATTATTAATTATTTATTTATTATCTATGAATTATTAATTATTTAAAATTACTATATATTATTTAAATTATTCAAATATTTGATATGTTTTAAAATTACTTTATTATTTCAACTTTAAACATTTTATTAATATATACGCATATTTTATATATTTATTAAAATATCTCATATTTATCATTTTTAAATAATTATATATCTATATATTTT